TTATGACCTTTCTTGCCACAGTTGTGAAGTGAATCACTGCAGTTATTAGGTTGGTATCATGGTCGTTAAGTGAAGCTGGCTTCCCCATTGAATTTGCTCATCAGAAGGTCCCAAAAGATGATCACATGATTCTAGGACCCTGTAACTGTCATAAATATGGGTCAGTTGCCAAACGTCTGAAATTTTCATCATGTGACCATGGGAATGTTCAACGGTCATAAATGTGAAAAACAGGTCATAAATCATTTTTTTCAGTGCTGTTGTAACTTTGAAAGGTCACTAAATGAACTATTGTAAGTTGAGGACTACCTGTAAATACTAAGTATCTAATCTTTTTGGTCTGGTCTCTTTGTTCAGAAAAACATGATTAGTGAAGCTTATCAACTACATCTTACACCCACCTTATTTAATTTATATCTGGAAACCAGAAGATATTTGTGAATGTTAGAGTTTAGAATATAGCTGTTCTAACTTTCCGAGAGCATTCAACCACGTGGGTAGCTTCTACACAGCATGGCCTCTGTTTTCCTGACTGAAATACTTAATGAGGGCCATTACAAGGACTGAGGCATGCAGAGATTGGAAATTATAAGGAAGGATAAACAGCTGTTCTTTTGCCACCAAAAAGGCATTTTCCTCCAGAGGTAAAATGCCATATCTGGCTTCTTCCATCACTGACATCATTAAAGGGAATATTTCAGAGGTGGTATTCAGCAGTTTCTGACCAGTTCTGGAGAACCAGTAGTGGAAATTTTGAGTACTTCAATGAACTGGTAAATACCACCTGTGGCTGGCCCTGTCCTCATCTAGTCTCTGCCTTCTGAGTTCCAGCTGTTTGGGAGGGAATGGGGATTTTGCAGTAACCTTCCCCTGGAGTGGGGTGGGAATGGAGATTTTAAAGTATCCTTCCCCTACTCGTTACGTTAATAAGCCAAGTTGTATTAGATCCGTGTTGCCTCAGTCCTGTTTCCCTCCATCACCCCTCAGAACACTGGCAACGAGATGGGATCTCAGGACTAAGCAATGGATCAGCTGAGTCACTGAGTCAGAAAGAGCTGAGGCGTTTGAATGGAACGCTGTAAAGAAGGAACAAAAAGGCATTTTTCCCTCTCTTTTTCCTGAGGTAACCTGAGTCGTCGTCCTTTTCAGGATGGCCACCTTAGCCTCATTCACAGCTTTCTGTCTGGCAACAGAGTCTTGGGAAGCTTTTGAAGAGCAATTTGAATGCTTCCTAGAAGCTCACGACCTTACCGGGTTTTCTGGCAGTCGAAAAAGATTGTGTTTTCTAAGTGCCCGCGGACCAGAGGTGTTCGGAACAGCCAGGGCATTTTGCGTCCCTCAGCCGGTACATTCCGTCCCATGGGATCTCTTAATTGAGAAACTGAGGGCACACTACGCCCCTGCGCCATCCAAAATTGCCTGAAATTGCACTTTCAGGCAAAGATTTCAGCTAGAGGGAGAGTCAATTAACCAGTATATAGCCGCTCTCTGATCAGCTGCCTTCTTTTGTGACTTCACTGATTTAGAAGAGAACTTGCTAGATCAATTGGTTTGTGGGGTCAGTGATCTGAAACTACAGCATCACCTGATACTGAAGCAAGGGCTTCTGAGATGGCCGAGAAATCCTCTGCAGAAATCCAAAGATATCAAAATGCCCCTTCCTCCACCTCGTGAGCGGCCGCTGTCCATCACGATGATGAAGAAGAGGGGGATGACCTCTCCAAGGAGGAAGATAATGTCAGCCATCTGCAAACAACCCTGTCAAGAGGCGCACTGGGCATAGGGATGCCCTCTCCACCTCTTGTGCTGGCTGCAGAGGCAATCAAGCCAGAGAAACATGCAGGTTTAAAACTTTTGTGTACCGCCATTGCGTCCGAAATGCCACCTAGCTAAGGTCTGTCAGGCTCCATCCCTTGTGCCAGAGTGCCAACCAAGTAAGCCAGCTAGTGTGAAGTTTCCCAGATGTCCAACCAGGCTGAGGGAAGACTGTTATGCTATCACTAATGATAGTGATGACATAGAGCTGTCTATCAATCAAGCTAAAGAAAAAAAACATGAAAAAATCTTTCTCAGTGTCCACATTGAAGGAGCACCCTGTCAGATGGAGGTGGACCCTGGGTATTAGTGCTCCCTCATTTCTTGGAGCACCTTGAAGCATTTAGTGCCCTCCATAGCAAAGAATTATCTCTCTCCCTGTGCTGTCCGTCTGCACGACTATCAAGGATAGTTAATCCCTGTTTTAGGCAGCAACCTCTTTAAGTAGCCACCAAGAGTTTTACTGGATGCCTTCCGCTGATTGTGGTCTAAGACCCCCTTCCTACATTGCTGGGTCTCGACTGGCTCCAGGCATTGGGGCTTGATGTCATCCACACCACGGCAGCTGAAGATTTCCAGTCCTTAACCACCGAGTTTGCAGATGTGTTCAAAGATGGTTTAGGTAAATGTACAGGCACCCCAATATCCTTTAACTTAGATCCCCAGGTAGCTCCAATTCGCCTTAAGCCTAGAAGGATTCCATTAGTGCTCCGCCCTAAGCTAGATGCTGAATTGGATAAATTGATTAGCCAGGGGATCATGCACATTGGGAAACACCAATCGTTATCCCAATTAAGCCAGATGGGTCTATAAGGGTGTGCGCTGATTACAAAGTAACATTGAATAGAGCATTGCAGGCTAACCCTTACCCTGTCCCAGTGGTACAACATCTGTTTAATTCCCTGGGGCAGGGGTCCATTTTTGCAAAGCTCGACCTAGCACAGGCGTTTCAGTAGCTCCCTGTGGACGATGTCATTGCTGATGCTCAGACAATCGTGACCCACAGGGGAGCCTTCCGCTGTCGCCGCCTGCAGTTAGGGGTTAGTATAGCCCCAGGGATCTTTCAAAGTCTGATGGAGCACCTGCTCCAAGGGATGCCTGGGGTTGTTCCCTATTTTGATGATGTGCTGGTCAGCACTAGTGACCAACACTCTCTCATTGCGACCTTACGCACTGTCCTCACCAGATTCCGCAATGTTGGGTTGCACTTAAAAAAATCTAAATGCAAAATTGGGGTCCCACAAGTAGAATTTCTGGAGTACCTTGTAGGTAAGTCTGGCACCCACCCCACCCCATCTAAGTTAGAGGCCATCCATCACGCCCCTACCCCTAAAAATAAAGTGGTGCTCCAATCTTTTTGGGGTCTTCTAAATTTCTACGCTGCTTTCTTGCAACATAAAGTTTTGGTTGCTGAGCCTCTCCACCGGCTCCTCAACAAGAAAGCAGCCTGGAAATGGGGCAAGGCGGAAGCCCGCGCTTTCGCAGCCCTCAAGTCCTTGTTAACATTGGATTTTGTATTGGTTCAGTATAGCGACTCCCTGCCCCTTGTCCTCGTGTGCGATGCTTTTCCATGTGGCATTGGAGCTGTGCTTAGCCATAGGCTGCCCAATGGGTCTGAAGCACCTCTTGCCTATTACTCTCACATGTTGTCCTCTACAGAACATGATTACAGCCACATTGATAAGGAGGCCATGGCCCTAGTGGTTGGCGTAAAGTGCTTCCACGATTATTTATACAGTTGCTATTTTGAGCTTGTCTCTGACCACAAACCTTTGTTGGGATTGTTGGCTGGGGATAAGCAAACTCCATTGATTCTCTCTCCTAGAATGTCCTGCTGGGCAGAATTTCTAGCTGGACTCTGGGTTTTAGCCTGATGTTTTATTACGTTATATTCTTTCCTATGAACTTTCTCTTGAGGGCAATGTTAAATATATTTAAGAATATATTAGGCATGCAATGTAATTGACTTTTATGCAGTGAAAGATGGATTTTCTGTTTTAACTTTTCTTCTATATCTCTTGACTCAATTACTATTATCATTTTTATTTTATTTGTGGCCAATTTTGAGAATTTTGTATATAAAGTAGTAAACAAAAGGCTTGTTGGGTGTGAGAAAGAAATATAGTGGTTTGCATATTTGTGCAATGCTCTTTAATTCTCTGGAAAGTATACTTGGAAATTCTGGTGTGGTTTTGTCTCCATCTTCGTTCAGCACAACTAAAGATTGCAACTTTTTGGCTCTGAGTTAGATTTCCTGCAGCTTGCTAAGTAATCCAGCCCAAAGGATGATTCATTTAATTCATGACAAGTGGACAACAAGCCAAGACATACTTCATTCATTCTTGTTTTCTTTGCTTTTAAGATTAAACAAAACTCATTTCCTCATATTTCTTAACTTAGGTCAACATCAAATTGCAGTTATTTTTAAATGCAACTCTATAAAAATGCTGGTTCTTAGTACATTTTTGTGAATGTGTTTTGTATTCAATTTTATCCAGTATAGATATGTTTGAAAGTTACTGTATTTGTGCTGAAAATTAATTTCATTCCACTTAAATATTAATGAAGATTGATGTTAGCTTCATAGTAGAATAACAGAGTTGGAAAGTTGGACGTCTTCTAGTCCAACCCCTTGCTCAAGCAGGAGGCCCTACACCATTCCAGACAAGTGACTGTCTAGTCTCTTCTTAAAGCCTCCAATGATGGAGCACCCACAAGCCATTCCACTGGTTAGTTGTTCTTACTGTTAGGTCATTTCTCCTTAGTTCTGGATTGTTTCTCTCATTGATTGGATTCCATCCATTCTGGAGAACTGGTAGCAGAAATGTTGAGTAGTTCGGAGAACTGGTAAATACCACCTCTGACTGGCCCTACCCCCATCTATTCTCTGCCTCCCGAGTCCCAGCTGATCGGGAGGAAATGGAGATTTTACAGTATCCTTCCCCTACCACGCCCACCAAGCCATGCCACGCCCACAGAACTGGTATAGTAAAAAATTCTGAATCCCACCACTGTCCCAAGTCAGTCCTTCTTTTCACCAGACTAGACATACCCAATTTATCAGAATTAAAAGATGAGAATAAAAGAGGTGGAAATGAATAGCAGCTGATGTTTATGGTTTTGTTTATTATGGAGTCCAGGACTTTGCTTTGCTTGATAATAATGATTACATGTTTTCTTTTCAGAGCTCTCCCTGCCATGATGCAGTGGGTCCAGGCTCAGACACCAGGTGAAAGTGGCATCAACATTGTCACCGCAGACTTTGTAGAACTCGGCGAGTTTATCAGCACAATCATTAAACTCAACTACAGCTTGGATGAAGGTGAAGCTGATACAACCTGATAGTAATGTAATGTGTACAACATGCGCCACAGTTGAACTTTTTTTCCAGTTGTGTTAGGTTAGGTTGTAATCTTGTAACCACAGATTTTGCAAGCACATGCTGAACATTATCATTTTCTTTTGAAAGTGTCGAGGAATTGGACAGAATAGGCAAAAAGGGGGACATTTTTATAAGTTGTAATAATTTCCTGACATTGATGCAACTGTATTTCTTGAAACCCAGTCAGGATTCATTATTTAAGTTATCATAATTCAGAAAGCCATTAATAAATTTTCTGCCAGCAACCAATGTGCTTTTGGACGTATATACGTATGATCATTGCTAAGCTTAATTCATAAATGGCAGCCATTTACTGTCCTTTATGCAATACATTCCCATTTCTATTAGGAATTTTGCTAATGGATGAGAACTGTACATTATCATATCAAGGTGTAGCATCTGCCAGTGTACTCCATTAATTAATGTTGAATTAATTGGTGGCATCAGCTTGGTTCTGCTCAAGTGGAAGGGATAGGCCATCAATATTAATGACTAATCCCAACTTAACAAGTTATTTTAGTTCCACTGTCTACTATGTGCACATTTTCTGGAAATTCAGAATATTTGAATATTTTTTTCACTTTTTTAAAAAAGGGAACATTACATTCTTAATCTAACTTTGTCTTCTTGCAATTGGTGGACTGTGTGCCATTGATTATTGGGTAAAAAGGAATAGAAAACATTGAATAGTGGCATTAGAGTAACACTATAGAATGGCATTACCATTATTAGAGAACGGCCTATTGTTCTCTTTTACTGCATATTTAACCTTTTGAATTATATTTCAATATATTTAGTTGAGTTATTAAACGAAATCATTATTACTTATGGGTCAATGATCACCATCAGTCACATAGAGATAAATCATATTTACACAGCATTCAAAAGAGATAATAAAAAAGACCAAACACTTCTCCAGCAACCAATATCCAGATAAGTAGGGATTATCATCAAACAAATAACGAAACAGAAAACAATATCCTAATCGAGAACTACTAAGGAGAACACACATACACACCCATCAACACTGGCAGATTAAGCTCTGTATATAAAACAGGGAATAAATCCCACATTCACTCACACTGATGATGTTACCTAATTCGGTAATGAAACGTTTGCAAGCAAACAACCAAGCGCAAAAAAACACCAAGGACACAACAGTTCTACCCGAAGCTGCATCTATTCTCTTCTATTTGGAAGATTGTCAGGATATAGAGAATAATATAAGATTGGATCTATATTTAGCCATGCTTAGAGAATCATTGAAATCATGAACTGATATGTCACATCGATTTCGCTGATCATCTCTCAGCCTGACTAGGTACAAATCCACACTGTCTTTTTGTAGAACTCAGAATTTGTACCTCCAAATATGGATTTTGATTACACATAAAAGCAGCATGCATTTCTTTTTAACATCCAGAGAAAAGTATTTTCCCCGCATGTTTGAAGCAAAAAAATAGAAAAGTATATTGCTTCAAGAGCATAAGCAGAATAGTTCAGGGAGCATTAATAATACAAAGCTAATTTTTCATTGTCAGAGTGAAAGAACACTAAAATCTTAAAAGCAACATGTAGTAATTACAATAGAAAATTCTACCACTCACTTGCCTCATAAGGGAATATCCAAATACTAAGAGATGAAATAGTGAAATATGTTAATTAGGAGTGAATAACCTGCAGCCCCTTTACCTTTTATTCAAATAATAATTCCCCAGCACAAACCCAGTTGCTATGACTGGAGAAGACTCCACCATGTTATAGAGCAATCTTTCTTAAGTTCAGCAACTTTCAGGTGTGTGGATTCCAATTGCCTATGTTGGTTGGGCAATTCTGGGAGCTGAAGTCTTAACAGAACAGAATAACAGAATTGGAAGGGACCTTGTAGTTCTTCTAACCCAACCCCCTGCTCAAACAGGAGACCCTATACTATTTCAGACAAATGGTTGTCCAATCTCTTCTTAAAAACTTCCAGTGTTGGAGCATTCACAGCTTCTGCAGGCAAGTCATTCCAATTGTTCTGTCAGGAAATTTCTCCTTAGTTCTAGGTTAGTGATGGTGAACCTTTTAGGCACAGAGTTCCCAAACTGGAAGGCGCGCGCACACAAACCAGAGCACCGGAAATCCGATGACCAGCTAGCCGGCATGCATGCATGCCTTGGAAACCTGATGACCAGCTGCCTGAGCTGGGGTGATGTCGAGCTTGCCCACAGAGAGGGCTCATCATAGTTCTAGGTTGTTCTCTCCTTGATTGGTTTCCATCCATTGGTTCTTGTCCCGCCTTCAAGTGCTTTGGGGAATAGGTTGACTCCCTCTTCTTTGTGGCAACCACTGTGTCAAATCACCAATATCAAGCCGTACCATCCAATATCCATATCCACATTCCTTTCCCTATTATAACTTCCCACTCTCCAAGATATTATGATCTGAACGTTTCCAAATCATTTCAGCTCTTGATTTTTCTCTCTTCTATTTCTCCTCGCGCAATTTCTCATTCTATTTACTACGACTTTCTTTAAACTGGGGCTTTATGGTTCCCACCCAGCATGAATCATGTTGATGAAGTTGCTGATGATGACAACCATGATTAACTTGCTAATAGTAATTGTTCAGTGTCCCCCTTTGCCAAGGGAATGGATATTTCCCTTTCCTTCATCTTTATTCTGATTTAAATCTTAATATAGGTTAAGAATTCTTTGAAGTCAGTTTTCATCTGCTCCCAGAACAGCTACCATTAGCGAGATAAAATATTTATGAATGTAGGAAATATTCATCCCAGTAAATATTTGTAGTCATCTGGATGACTAAAGTATATCATTCAGTCTCTATACCCGACATATCTTAGGTACTTAGACAGAACCGATGAATCAAGGAGCTTAATTTTGACATTAATCATTGCTTGAAATGGGTAATGTAAGAAGTTTGCAATGCCTAATTCAGGAAGAATTCTTCTTGATTTGTCAATTTCCTTTTAAAAGTCCTTATTAGAATTAGAATTAAATAATATATTTTATTTTAATGAGCAAATTCATTTTTGACCAAATCTTACAATAAGATTGAAGGGGAAAACCAGGGGTGAGATTCAGCTGGTTCGGACCAGTTCGAGCGAACTAGATGCTAATTTTACATCTGGTTTGCCGAAGCGGTAGGTAGAAGGACTGGCTGGCCACCCTGCCCTGCCCCTCCCAGGAGTTTCCACGTGGCCTGTTCATTATGCCAGGTAAGTGCAGGACCCATGTGGAGGCTCTGGAAGCGTGAAAAACAGGCCCCCGGAAGTTCTGGAAGTCCAGTTTCTTGTCTCTGGGGAATCTCTGGAGCCCAGGGGAAGCCATTTTTGCCCTCCTGGAGGCTCAAGGAAAGCCTCTGGAGCCCGGGAAGGGTGAAAACACTCCCCCCCCCCTGTGCAGGAGGCTGAGTAGGCCACTCATTGCATGGCCATACCCACCCAGCAACCGGGCAGAGAACCGGTTGCTACAATTTTTCAATCCCACCCCTGGAGAAAGGCTCTTCAAAACATAGCTTTAATTTCTCCAGGAATATTTAACTAGTTTGCTTGGAAAGAGGCATTAGACAATCTGGACCTTTGACCCCTTCTGGCAGAACAACTTTTGCAAATGTGTATATACATGCAGTTGAGAGCAAATCACAACCAGCTCCTTTGAATTCACATTCAAAAGCTTCCCTTTTAAGAATAACATTTGAATGCCTTTGGATTATCTTTAGAAGATCCATGACAAGGGAAGATGGAAGTTCACAACTGAAGGACGCTAATTTGAGGAATCTTACAATATTATTCCCTTCTGACACTAAAACTAATGCCATATATAGTCATCTAAAGGGCAAACGTCTACTCCTAGTAGAAAGACTTTGAAACTCCAGAATGACATTCAGCTACCTTCATCTGAAGAGTCTCAATAACGAGCAAACCAATCACATGGCGTTGCCTGCTATTCGATCTACCTAACTTTATGAAATATTAGATGCCAGCATCAAAATTTACACAACGTTCCTTTCCCATTGTTCTCTTCTGAATATGAGGTGGATTTGGGGAAGGGCTGCTCAAGTTGTCAATATGGCAATTGACATGACTCTAGTATCGTCACACATTCTTTCACAGATGGATACTTAGAACTCCAGTATACAGCCTACAGTCAAGGTCACTGCAAGGACTTAATGTTGAATAGTAATAGAAGAAGAATGTATAGTGTGTGTGTGTGTGTGTGTGTGTGTGTGTGTTTGTGTGTGTGTAGCTATAGTACAGTATAGCTTAGATTTACTGGAATCATTCAGATGTCAGATTAACATCCCTTGTAGTTTTGATTCAAGCTCTCTAAAAACAAAGAACAGCTCCTGCAAATATAACCAAATATATTTCCTTGTTTTATTGAAGTTACTGAACTGCAGGTAGAAAAAAAAAGAACATTAATTAATATATATTTATGCATAACTAATAATTACTTTACTGTTAAGAGAGATCTAAAATAGCACGGAAATGATGACAGATGGATATATTGGCCTTCGTTAAAAAGAGTTAAGACCCATTTTGTCCTTTGGTGGAAGTAATCAGTGAGAGACAAAACATCTGATGAACACAGTGGGGAAAAAGCAAGGCTTTAAAGCAATTTTAATGGGGAACTTTTGCAATCACGGTTTAAAAATTCTGCAGTTCCAATTCAAGTGATTTGGCATTTGAGTCTTTCCACAGCAGGACATTCATGCAATATCAGTCCATTTTATGCACAGTTTTTCCAAGGGAGAGTGGGGGCTGCCTCTTACAAATTAGACCTAAATTAGTCCTAAAATAAAATCTAAAGGTGTTTTTTTATTAAAATGTCAATCAAATTAACAGAAAATGAGCACACTGGATTCATGGATTAAACCCATCTCCTTTGGGGCACATTAAAAATTAGTTACTTGGCGTAATATAGCTGATCAATGGCATGAGTAAACATTGACTTTATTAATTAGACTCCACCTTAAGAACTGCAACCAGATCTACATACTGCACCTTAGGAAGGACAAAGCAGAACAACTTCAAAGAAGGACAATAAAGATGATAACAACTCTACAATCATATTCCTGTGAGGCAAAAGAACTTAGAATGGGTAGCCTTGAGAAGAGAAGCTTAAAGGGAGATATGATAGCATTCTTCAGTTTCTGAGGCTATCACATAGGGCCAAGAACTGTTCTCTGTTACCCTAGAGCAGTGGTTCCCAAACTTGGCAACTTTAAGACTTGTGGACTTCAACTCCCAGAATTCTCCAGCCAGCAGAGCTGTGCATAAAGTCCACAAGTCTTAAAGTTGCCAAGTTTGGGAACCACTGCCCTAGAGTACGTATCACAGAATTTAAAATTAAGAGGCAAAGATGCTCACAGTGGAACAAGCTACCCAGGTTGGATCACCTTCACTTTATTTTTAGTCCTGCACTGATCAGAACAATTGAGTTTGATGGCCTTCCGACTTTATTATTCCATGGTTCAGGTCAGTGGTTGGATTCAGCCAGTTCGCACCACTTCGAGAGAACCAGTTGTTAAGTTTCTCAGCAGTTTGGTGAACTGGTTGTTAGAAGAAATCATGAGGGCAGAGAAAAGGTTGTTAAACTATTTGGATTTTTGAACCACTGGTTCAGGTTGAATATTTTTCTGTGTTTGTCTTTGTGTTTCTGTTTCTACATTTATTTCAATCCAGTGTGATTTTAACTAGTTCAAAGCACTGTCTCCCTTATTGGAATGTAAAAAAGCAAAAAAAAAAATATTTAAAAAATAAAATAAAAAGAAGCTTTCTGGTTGGGAAGCTTTAGACCGAATGTTTTTGAAGGTGACCTGTTCTTCACAGGTTATTTAATTTCAAAGAGGGCACCTGGAGACACAAGCACAGCCATCTAAAAAGTGTGCTTTGTGTCATCGTAATAGCTCAAATGATAAGACTTTCTTAGATGTTTCTTTCTTTACAGTGAACAAAAGTTAATAGTGTATTATACAATCTGTGTGGTATAATTCTTCAGTAGCTTCTATGTTTACACTGTTTTGAACTGTATCTGTTTACTTAATCACAAGGTTCTTTTAAGAAAAAATGCTGTATGCAGTGTAAAATGTATCAATGACATATTTGTTGAAACTTTGGTGATTCCCCTCTCCATAATTCTGAAACTGTGCCAGTGTTCCTGTAAGTTTCCCTGTGTACGTTTGTGTGTATGTGTGCAGGGGTGTGGGTTGTGCGCATTATACAACTTATGAGAATTAGCAACTTAATTCTAAATGAAAAAAAGCTGGTTGTGTTTCTTCAAAGCTGCATCTGTTTAAGACTTTGTGAAATCTTGAAGCTTCATGTGTGGTCGAGGATTAATGTATATGGACCGAGATCTAGTGAGCTCCTATAAAAATAAGGATTGCTGTCCTTATTATGCCATTTTTTTAAAAATCGTAAACATTAAAATGACTTGTGGTATTTTAAAAGAAAATAAATACTGAATAATAACCATGAATCTCACATGCGAAAATGGGGAAAGAATTGATTTATGACTTTCTTGGGAAATTAAATTACATGTTTGTCACCCAGTTTGAAATTCATCAGTCTGTGTTCCAGCATGAAGGCTGAGTTCAGGCCCCAGAAGGAAGATGGATAAATTCTGTAATGTTTAAAACTCAAGTCAATTAATATAACCACAGTAAATCTTAGCCTTATTACTCTCCCAATCTGAATTTTATATTTATAAGGAAAAGTGGGATATCAATTGTAAAAAGTTTTTTTTCCAAAACATTCTTTGTTTTGTGGTTTGAGAGATTTTCTTGAATGTTCAGAACTGATTGCACTAAACCGATGAAAATTAACATATTCATTAATTGATACATACAGCTTTAATACATTGGTTTCACAATAATACTGATCGGCCACTC